TCACCATTTAAGGAAACAAACAAAACTCAAGCATTGATCAATAAATTAAAAAGTAAGTCCAAAAAAAAATAAAAATAGCAGCTCCCTAGCTGCAAACGAGCAGCTCCCTAGCTGCAACCGAGCAGCTCCCTAGCTGCAACCGAGCAGCTCCCTAGCTGCAACCGAGCAGCTCCCTAGCTGCAACCACACAAATGGCACTCCGGCCCAGAGCGCACCTTTATCTGGGCTTAAATACTTTTAATTACTGATGTGAGTCAGCTGTGTAAAAGAGAAAGGTGGCGCCTCAGGCAAAAGAGATTGTAAGACACGTCCACACAGGCACCTTCAAGAGGAGGCCCTGCTAGGGCCGTAACAGTTGCTTATGAGTATTATCTGATTGATGGAACATTCTGTCTAATATTGTGGGGTCTTTACCTAATATTGTTGTGAACTGGTGCAAAAGGAACAAAATGGAATTGAAACATGAATCTGAAGTGTCACAGCAAAGTTTTACACTAAATATGTGGGAAAGAGGTGCAACCTACAGTATGGAACACATCTCTAATACACTGCTCCAATTTTGTAATACCACTATAATTTTCAATTTTGGTTTAAGAACAAGACTTGAAATTGCTGCCGTTCCTTTCATGCAGGACACATAAATTTTCCATTAGGTGAGGACATTTCCTTCTAGCAGAAAAACTGCAAAAATATCAGCAACTGAACCCAAATGACAATGTGTTGTTAAATAACCTTGATAACCTCCTGCAGACAGATTAGTCATGTTGTGTTTTGTGAGGCAGTGAAAGCAGAGTGCATGGCAACACTGCGCTGCAATGCAGTGCTCCATTAGAAACGTGCATACACATAACTTTTTGGTGACAGTATAAAAACTGTGAAAGTTAAATATGAATGTTTAAAGTAAATTAAGTTAACAGATAAAGATGGTGTCATGGACTCTTTAATATTTAGTGCAGTTTTTAGGTTTTATTTGTTGTCCTTCCTACTTACAGACATGTTAGACTACCTACCCCACAACTAATAACCATCATGACTTATGAGCATCTCCAAAGTGAGATCTGTGTGGCTTTACACTCATGTATAGCACTTACTTGTTTAAATACTCAAAGTGATCAGTTACCCCAGCATAGAAAGAGGATTTGTCATGGGAAATAATGTGTACTGTTTTGGTCAACAATACAGGCAGAAATAGGTCCATCTCTCAACTCAAGGGAAATGCTGCGGTGGGGCAATAAGATAGCTATGCATAAACAAACGCCCACAAAGCTCAATAAACTGATGCAACATGGTTAAGTAATACGAGAGACTAATACAAATAACACAGAAAATGATTATTATAAAGGTTATTACTGGTAAAAGGCAATTCCAGAAGCTAGTGAGTCTACTTAGTTTTTCACAAGACTTTATGCGACTGTACTAATTTGTCTAGTGGGCTTTGAGCCAGTGTGAGGTAGCATAATGTAAGCGGCATCAGCAGACTATTTAAGTTTCTATTTAATACTTTATTTCTGGCATCTCCATTCTACCATAAAACCAACCAACCAACCTGGTAGGCAAAAATTCCACTTGCTTTATACAGGACTTTACACACACCTGAACCTCGTTAGTCTCTACCACTGGAAAAAAATAGGTCAGACCAAACAATGCAATTCTAAACAAAGAACAGGAATATGATCATGCATGAAATTGACAAACTCATTTACTCAGCTAAATGGTCTGAGAAGTAAAACACTGCATACAATACAACTCAAAGGCTACTTTAAAGAAAATAAATAATACTATACAAAATGAAAAGCCCTTCACTTGGTTACACCCAGTGATGCAATCAATGACCTCATGACCCTATATAAACAGGAAGTACTGGGGCGGCCCTTCCCACACACCTGGGCTGTATCCCAATTCAGGGTCTGCAGCCTTAAAGGCCGCATTTTAAGGCCAATTACGTCACAGCGACACGACAAAGGCTGTCCCAATTCAAAGGCTGCTCGAAATGCGGCCCTCAAATGCGTCCTTCATTTCACTGAATTTTAAGGATGTGGCAGTGTAGACTTTGTGGCCCAACATATCCCAGAATGCATAGCACGGCGGTGGGTGTGGATAATTTTGTTGGGAAAAAAAGGCGGAAGAGGGGCGCCCGAAGAGTAAACTTTTAAAAGTAAGTACTGAATATTATGTTACTTATTTATGTGCAAATGTTTAATAACGAAGAACATTAAAAGATTACTGTTGGCCACATGTCGGCAACGCTATGTGAAATTAGCGATGTTTGTAGTAACTTGGTTTTAAACCCTTTACTTTAAAATATATGCCGTTCAATAGTTGATGTTAATCTTACAGAGAATGTGATGATTTTATGGATATTTAAAGTAAGCACTGAGACAAATTTAGTAATGCCAACATATTAAAATAACAATATTTGTCTCTCATATATATAAAACAGTTATATATACAGTGTCAAAGAAACCTGTCTTTGAGTGAAGATTTAAGGTGACAGGAAATATAAATAATATAAATAAATGCAGCTTGAATCTTTACTGAAGCTCAGTATTTGAAACAGAGTTCATTCACTGCTGTAATAACTAATAATGATTGAAATTATAACTTTAATATTGGCCATATTATATTTACATTACCAAAGTGAGATGACTTTAGTCTCATGAACAACATTAGCTAATTGTTATTTACTAGCTAATCTTAAATGACTGTTCAGTACACAAGTGAAGCCCAATAATCATGATTTCACAGTCCCGTGGTCTCAGCCTCAGATACTTATCAAATCAAAGCTCATGTAGAAACAAACAAACAAATGAACAAAAGATTTTGTCCTTCATTTCTGTCAAACAAAGCTGTATGAAACGTTTCCAGCTGTTAGTGTCATGGTTGCTAGGCAACCTGGGCAGCGCGACTGAGGCTAGACCGTCCCATTTCACAAGCCTCTCACTTCCGGCCTTAGCGGTCTTTGAGTACACGGCCCTTGTGGACCGTTAAGACTGCGTACTTTAAGGCTGCAGACCCTGAATTGGGATACAGCCCTGGTTTAGATATAGTACCTGAATAAATGGACAAATGTGGTAAGTATAACCAAAGTAACATAAAGAAACATAATTTACTGGACATTTGCCTGTGAACAGAAGAAAATTCAAATGACCTGATGGTTAGTAGTATTTGCTTTAAAAAAACATATGGATTGATATAATGAATGTAACTACTGCTACCACAAACAAACCCGGGATAGTGTGTTAAGCAAAGTTACACCAGCAATGTCTAAAATAAAGCATTATGGTTGACTGTATAATAACAAGGAAATAAATTATCCATATGGTTAAGGGACAAGTGGTAAATGAGTTCATGCCTAATCACTTTGTCACATCCAGTGATGCTATTTCATTATTTATTATGAGACATTAAGTCACAGTTACTAGATAAAGCCTCTCTCTATTTTTTTTTAAACCTTTAGTACATCACATACAATGCTTTTATGTATACTTGCACTCTTCAATATAAATACAACACTGCTGCTGTGTCGTAAAATCTTTTTATGATGCTTTTGTCATTGAGTTGTTGTGGACTTTGCTTTGAAAAGCACACTTCATTCAGGAAAAAATAAAAATAAAATAACATTTAAAAAAAAAAAAGAAGAAAAATATAAAGACAGGAGATGCCAACACTATACAGTTGGCCATAAAGTGAATTAGCTAAGCCAACAAACACCCAAGAATTTCACTCAAAGTTAGCCTGCACAGCAAAATTTACCAAACAAAAGCAACGTGTGTGTGTGTGTGTGTGCGCATCTAGATATAAAACTAAGTTAAACCCTCTGAATGAAAGAGCTTATGATCATACAGAGTCACTAACCTTGACTCATGCAATAAGTAAAGCTATACTCCCACACCCAGTGACTATGGCTATGAGCTCGACTTTCCTGTGATCAAAATGTGAACTTAGACGGATATATGTGTGCTTTGATTGTGGTTGATTGGGCTCACAAGCTTGTCGTGGTCTTTGAATGTTTCCCTTGTTAGTGAGAGAATATTCTTCTATTGGTTTAGTGCACCTCTTCCCCAACTATGACATCATAGATGGCTTCAAACTGTTCCTCACTCTGCCCTCACATTTTTACATATTAAATGCCATGGAACAGCATAAGGAGGAATGTCCTAAACTTTGACAGTAAAACATTAAACCCACATAATCACACTAAGCACAGGCGTGGAAAATCCTGTCAGATTTGTTTAGAGAAAATTTTAATTAGAACAATTTAAAAGAAAGAGAGTGAAGAATCGTAAATGGAAAGTTGTGTGGTTGAGAATCTGCAGGTGGCCATACAGAATCCAAGGCTTCTGTAAAAGTAAGATTTATTTTCCAGCAGTGGGGAGAAGAATGTTTTAGCCACAACATGTAAAAACACTGCCCCACAGTAAAACAAACATATGGGAGTTTGAAAGACATCATCCAGAACAACATTCCTGACAAGCCAGAAACCAACCAACCTTCAAGAACTACACCATCGCTCATTTGGACAAAGTATTAGCCCCCGACTCATTTCAAACATTTAATTAGGCAGAAACTCATCCTGTTGCTAAAAAGTGTCACAGGTGACTAATTTAAAAGTATAGAATATCCGAACAGTGTATGCTCTGCTTTATTGGCTTTCCTCCAACATCAACTTCAGGTAGTGGGCATGCTGAAAGGTTGATACGACTCCTTTTACCCTCAAAAGGGAGTTCTTGTTGCTCCGCAAAGATAACACAAGCAAACAATTCACATCTACTTTGTTTTTGTAACCCCACCCTGCAGAGTCCAGACACTAGCAGTGTGCTTCTGTGAATGGAATACCTGTCAGCTGGATAGGAACAAATCTTTATACCGATTTAAAATATCCACAGTCCTGGTGGATGAATCTTAAGGACCTAATGATGGTAATTCTTCAGGACTAAAATGTTAAGTTTTACAGAGCTTAGCCTTGTTTATTTGAGGGTTGTCCCAAATGTCCAACAGTGACAAGATGATTTGGAAATATCTGCTTGGAAGCAAGTCAGGTTTGCTAAACGATTTATGTTGTGTACACGGAAGCCTTTGCATCTTCTACAACCCTCACTGCTTCACCTGAGTGAAGTAATCGTGTCCTTTACTATGTAGATCTAAAGCAGGCACACAGCCACACAAACACCAAACAAACAGAACTGAATTTAAAAATGTAGACGATCTATTAAGTGTAAAAGAAAGAAAATGTAAGACAATTAAAACATTTCAGAGTCATTATTATGCCTCAGAAAAAGTTCATAAAAGAAACCCAACTTCATTATAAGCTGTTAGCATTTTTAAATCCTATTTTCTATGCAAGAGGTGACACAGTAAACTCAACTGAAGGGAATATTTGAACAGAACGAATTTGTATAAGTAAATTCTTTGGTTTAAATATATGCTGGTCTCTGTCAGCGAGTCTTCCTGATGGTGAATTAGCATGAACATTATAAGGAAGTAATTTTAATAGTTTGTTTTTAAGACTCCATTGGATTTTTATTTTAGAACAGGCATTTTGTTTAAATGTGAAAAACATTTGCGCTGTGCACAGCACAGCCAAGGCTTGCCACTGACTATTTAGTCAGTGGCAAGCCTTCAAAATTCAGCCAATCAGATTTTCAAAGCAGAAGGATTTCTGTGTCATGACTCACCTGAATGAACCTCCTCAATGTGACTACAGCTCAGTGTGTCTGATAGGTCGGCATTTGGCTTGGGGCTATAGGTCACGTGTTCGGGGCTTCCCCTGCTGTTTGACTCGGCCTCTACAGCACCCTGGCTCAGAGGCTCCAACGTGTTAAAGCAGCGTGCCCACTGGCTGACAGGCTTGGCGGGACGCCCAATCAGAACACCCAGAGAGGGATCTGACCTCCGACCTTGAAGGACCTCGCGTGTCTTTTCTATCCCACAATGAAGCAGGCGATAGTAGAGAAGAGCCTGATCACGCACGCACATGTCTGTCTCCTCCTCTGGAAAACACAAGGGCATCAAAAATGATCTATTTTATTATGAGATCATAATAAAATAGATCATTTTTGATGTCTGTATACACATATGTGCACACACATAAACACAAACCTATGCAGTAGTGCAGCAGTCTTCCCAGCATGTCTTGTGTCTCAGCAGGCCGACACAGGAAAAGTCTCATGGTGGCTGTCAGCAGCTCCATCTTGATTCCCAGAGAAGCCTCGCTTCTCACTCTATCGATGAGCACTTCCAAAGTGTAGGGGGCACTGGAAATTCGCTCCCCATACACACCCAGCAACCAGAGCAAAGCCTGCCTGCCCTAGTGAAGGAGGCAGTGGAATATTTAGATCTAAATCTAGTCAACAGAAGTGGGTTCACTGTCGTCCAATATAACTACCAAGAAATGCTTGGTAGTATAATTACCCAGTGCCAAGCTTGTTTTTATCTCCTCAAAAGTCAGTTCTACTCCAAAGTACAGTTCTGAAATATATCTGCATTTCTACTTCATGCATTTATTACACCCCCAACTCCAAACGAATGCGTACAGTCATTATAATGGGGGAAACTATACAGAAAAAAGTTCTTGTACTGGGCTGCTGTAGAATACTGCCAAGTTTGCCATTATAAACTTGGCAGTTTATGATAGTCGCCATAGGTGACTATCTCACTTCATTTGCCACCCCTTGATATTTCAGCGGTCTAAAACAAAGTTTCAAGGATTTTTTTCTATACATCAGTGTGAATAAGAGAGCAGCCGAAAGCAGCGCAGTGAGAGCAGATATTTTCAATCTGATTATCTCAGCTACATGGTTCTGGCATTAAGCACATGGGACAGGTAATGAAAAGAAAAGCAGGTTTTCAGGGGGAAGGAGAGGTAAAATAGCTTGTTTTAGACAAATGAATTTAGTGCCCTGCTAACAAGGATTAGTTTTAACTGTGAATCATATACAACTACCAGAAACCAGAGTTGCAGAATAACAATAGGAACTCATTAGGATATATCTACTTTAATGGGGGAAACTTAGCATGAAAAGAAACCTGGCATCAATTCAAATACTTTGGAGGCAATCACTGACCAGAATATCACGTAATTTGTTCCCATTTCTTCACTTTAAACTATGCTTCATAAATTGTGTTTAAAGATAAGATAGCTTGATTAGCATAAAATTATATGAAACAAAGAAGTTGTTGGCCTAAAAACTAGCTACGACAGATGAACAGTATCTGAATGTCAAGACATACGTAGAAGTGCAGCAGATCTGACCAGACATAGGACCTGAGAGATGCATCTGGGCTTTTGACTGATCCATTAATTGTTGATTCATTCAGAAAGTCCTTTATAAGGAAAGTAAAGAGGAAGAAAAGGCTGAAGAACAAACTGCACAATAATGAGACTGACAATCAGTGGCAACAGGTCTTATTGTGGCTGCTCCATAACCAACAGCCGTGGCAGGCTAAACGTGGGTACTGAAGACGCGCATCAGTAAACAAATAAAATGCACTTCTGAGCTGTTTGTTCTACTTATTTAACCATTACACTGTCCAAACCACAAGTCAGTACATGGGATCCAAAAGAACCCAAATGCACAGACTCCACAAACAAATACAACTGTTGCACCAATTATTACACCAAACTGCAGCAACAAATTGTGTATCAAACTGCAGTCGACTGAAAGTTTCACCTTATGCTCACCCTACCTTTCTGCTAATCAAACAATATGTGAGGTGAACAGGTGGGTGCAACCACCATTGTTGCCTAATACGCACCCCATGAGTCACGCCCCACAACTGTGCACCAAAACACGTGCTTTCGCATTCTAAACCAACGCACTTGTGACCCAAAAGGAAAAACTCACACACGGCAAGTGAAATTTGAAATGTATGATTGAAATCATTTTCAAAATGCGCAGAGAAGATTAGGAGAGAGATACAACAGTGAGAGTCTACAGCTGTAAAGCACAATGGAGGTTTGTGACTACATTTGAGCCAACGATGTTGGAAATCTTGTCAGAACCGATGGACTTATGAAGACAGAACATTACCGTCAGATTTAGAGCCATCGTGTAATAGCATCTGATTGGCAACAGATTCATTTTTCGGCACGACAGTGATCCCAAACACAATGCCAGTGCAGCAAAAAACATACCTGAATAGAAAAACACATCTGGGTCTCCCCAGAGCCCAGACCTTAACATTACTGAAGTAGAGAACAGCCAACATCAAAGAAGAGCTTTAAATGTTCTTAAAGAAGCCTGGAGAACTATTCCTGAAGACTCATGTTGAAGAATAAAGCTGATTACACGAAATATTGACTTTCAGGCTCCTTAGAATTGTACAAACCCCGTTTTTACCTTATTTACTATATTTCTGTGTTTGTTTGCACGTTTCAATAAAGCGCTGAAGCTAGTTCGCTGTTTTCTACCAAAATATGAAAGGACTAAGAGTGGCTCATGAACTTTGCACAGTGCTCTATACCCCATATAAGAGGAAACAGAAAATGAAATAAATTATTAATGGATGCTTGGGATTATGTTCACCAACTTGACCATAACTGAAATATATCGTTACAACAGACGGAAATAACCTTGCAAAATTATGAAAGTAAATTTAAATTTCAGCATATAAAATAAAATACCATGATAATGCCCTGTAGAATAAAAAAAGTTTCTGTTAAGTATATTTCTGATAATACTTTTGCCAATTTGTATTTTCAAAACAGGACATCTACAGCACATACTCATTTATGGCATGATATTGTTTTTTCTTGCACTCAGTATATAGGTATGGCAGGATCTAACCTGGATATCCTGCAGTGTTTCCTCGCAGCCTTCCAGTGCAAGGCACACAGTGTCGCTACACTGGGGACACACCCAGACCAGGTCACGCATTGTCTGCACCACCGCTGAGAAGGGCAGCAGGAGAGTAGAGAGACAAAAAGTGTGGTGAAAGAGTAAAAAAAACAGCTCTGACAGCATGAAGCTGTTTGTGTGTATACTGTACTGTATGTGGGAGGTTGTGGAACTGATGTTTTTACCAGAAGTGATATGATCCTGTTTGAGTCCAAGCAGCCCAGTGAGGATTTGTAGACATCTGTCGCTGTAGCTGCGTCCAATACGACCTGCATACAATAAAGGCAAACACAGGGCGTTAGAGTGACTGATCAAACACATTGAGCATGTTCTACACAGAAAATGCAGCACGCTATGTATTCTTATCCTTAATAAAAGGGATGTGTTGTTTTTTTGCTTATCATTATTTACTTATTGTCAGACAAATGGGTTAACATTTTGCATTTCAGGAAGGTTGAAAACAAATGAATGTAGAAACTCCATTTGGAAAGAGTGTGTCTACTGGTGTGTAAGATTAACATTAACATCAGCAATTTAAATTTGAAATGAAAAGCAGTTACATTTAGAGAAAAAAATCCTTTAATTTGTAGTTCATAACACAATAGGTCTGGGTAGTGGAACCACAGAGCTGGAATGGTCTTGGTCCCAAACTTTGGTGCTTATAGCGAGATAAAATGTTTTCTATTCAATTGTTTCAATTTCAACATATACTTCACACACACAGGTTCGGGAACACAGCAAAAACATGAAGTACATGAATGAACATGAATAAATATAAACCAGCCTTCATTTAATACAGTATGAACAGAGTAAGACAAAACATTTGAATATCAGGATGTGTTACTAAATCCACGTTATTTACAATCTAGTGCTCCTAATCACTACACCCTCATTAATACAGCAGTCTCTACCTGAAAAAAAAAA